AAAGAACAGGTAAATGGTTTCCCAAAAGTGTATTTGAAGAAATAAAGAAAACACCCTCAAATTAACTGAATGCTATATCTTTATAAGTTTAAATATGAACATTAGGAAGGATCAAAGTAAAATGAACAAAAATTTGTGGTTACAGATTGTTATATCCATCTAGCACAGAGATTTTTAAACTCTTCTTACCTCTTTGAAATAACAGTGCTTCATTCCTAATAAACTTTTGCAACTAATAACTTACTATATAGTCTAACTCTGTTTCTTGCAATTAAGATGATACAGGATTATTTAAAACAATATAAAATGTATGGCTTTAAATAAAGTTAGGATGAAAAAATGTAATAAGTATTTTTTCACATCTATAAGCAAATTGCACATAATTATATATATATATTTAAAATAAAATTATTTATTATTTGAATGTATTTAAAAGAATACATTTATTTTAAAGAATACATGTTTACCACTAGTGTGCCTGCTACTCTTCTCTTTTATTATTATTTTATGAAAATGTGAGACAGGAATCACCAGAAGGGGAGCTGGAGATTCTGAGGTTGTAAAGAAATAAAAGCAAGTTTATAATAGGTAGACTCAGGAGAAAGTCTTTTTCTGATTTCCTGGCATTACAATATTTAGTATTAAGTTTGTGAATTGTTGCTTATTTTTCTTACTTAGATTCACATGAGCAAAATATGTACATTCTTGGTTTATTTTTGTATGTCAGTATCCTTAGAATTCTATTTTTGAACTGAAGTTTAATACAACATCCTTTTGTTAAATAACTAGATATATAACTTAGTTAACTAATTTTATTTTATTATTTTTTTTTTTTTTGGGACGGAGTTTCGCTCTTGTTACCCAGGCTGGAGTGCAATGGCGCGATCTCGGCTCACCGCAACCTCCGCCTCCTGGGTTCAGGCAATTCTCCTGCCTCAGCCTCCTGAGTAGCTGGGATTACAGGCATGTGCCACCATGCCCAGCTAATTTTTTGTATTTTTAGTAGAGACGGGGTTTCACCGTGTTGACCAGGATGGTCTCGATCTCTTGACCTCGTGATCCACCCGCCTCGGCCTCCCAAAGTGCTGGGATTACAGGCGTGAGCCACCGCGCCCGGCAGTTAACTAATTTTAAAAGAAATGTTCTAATTTTATAGCTTTTAATTTTATAACAATTTTAATAAAATTATTACATAACTAGTTTTCAAAGCAGTGTTCTGATTTTAGAAAACTATATTAAATATTCTTACTATCATATGTTGAGTTATTCATTGGAAGAAAATTTGTATAAATTCTACGCTGAATGAAAATATACTTAGGTGTGTTAAGGAGAAGTCTCAGAAATTATGTTAAAAGAGCCACATAATCTCCTAGATAGGAAACATTTTCCAGAATAGAAGCTTACGTAATCCACAAATGGTTTAATCATGAATCGTGATCTGAACTATTAGACTGAGTGTGGAAGTAGCAATATAGTTCTTCATTTATTTAGATTTTACTTCCATGGCCTACATTACATCATGTCTGTCTCTTGGTTAAAAATAAAAAAAAGATAATTTAGTACAAACTAATTTCTGACAAATAATATGACGCAAAATTTTCAGAGATTCTCACTCAGAAAATTAATAACCATATTTTGGTAACACCAAAACTTACTTAACATTTCTTTTAAGGAAAGTGACTCAATTATCTGAGTGTTCCAATTGCAAATGAATCTGCCTTCTGCCTATGGAAATGATAGAATGATGATGGAAGAATGTGATGAATCAGAATTTTAAAAGCCAGCAGAATTCTACTTTGTCAGCATAAGTGTGCAGAACTCTTATAGAGACCCAAATGCTAAACCAGATTGTCTCAGAAAGCATAAAAATCCAGTTTCCAATAGTGATTGAATTTCCTAATTACTTATAAGGTGTATGCACAGTCTCTATTCATTGTAATACTTGACAATTTCATAAAATAATCTAGTCTTACCTTGATTAGCAAAATATATATATCACTAATATATACAAATGCATATTATATTAGTGTATTTATGTATCCCAATATAGATAAATCAGTAGAGGGAAGGCTTACCATCTTTCTGTTCAATAGGAGTTGATATAAAATTCTTTTATTACATATTATTTGCTAGTGGGGATGACAAATTCATGAATTTTGGTACAATGGCTTTATCTTGGGCCATAATCCTGTCTTGAGTACATAAAAATCCACATAAATGTATGTGTATATATTCAATTTTTGTAACTCAAGTAATAGAGCTTATCATTTCTAGGCACAAAGCTTAGCACTTTGGTAGCATAGATATAAATATGCTCTGGGGAGAGAATGATGAGTAAAGTTGAAATGGGAATTAGAAAGAGTTCTAGGATATTTTCACCCAGAAAGATTTATTAAAATAAAGAAAATGAAATTCAATATGTACATCAGAATTTCAGATCTAGAGCTTTTATCTCTGCATTGTTTTTATGCAACAGCTTTGTGATCTATTAAATCTATTAAAGATACATTTTAAATAAATGTTATTTTACATTGGAATATCCCCTAGATCCCCCACACAAAAAAGAGAACTGGGAGATATACCAGTTATTAATAGCAGTTATTAAATCAACAACTGCATAGAACCAATTGAGGCTAAGGCAACACAGAGACTAGAATTCCATTTAGGCCATCTCTTGTTATTGCTGTTGCTGTTGTTTAAAGGCATATGAAGAACAGTAAAAACAAAAACAAACACACACACAAAAAGGGATTTTAGCCTGAAAGATAAAATCAGCCAGTTTTAAGAGAGGTATGGTTAGGGATTACAGGTTGTAGTTACATATTTTAAGGTTATTATATGGATGAGGAAACAAGGTCATTCCTATTTACATAGTGAAGAGAAGTTCCATAAAGTCAATGTGATTCAATATGTAGGATGCCTTTCTAAGTGGTTTCAATAATAAAAGAGATTGCCTAGTGAGCAGTGAGTTTCCTCCATTGGAAAGATTTCTTTATTATAGATGTAAATATACAATATAATTATGTAAATTTAAAATAAATAAACCTTTTCCATATATATTTAATTCCCAAATATAATTTTAATGTTATTTAATACATGATGATGCATAAATAATATTTATTGGGAATTCACTATGTACCAGGGAATTGTGCAAGGATCTTTACCAGACATAACTTTTCAAGTCTTTCATAAAACTCTGCATAATAAATACAGTTTATCATCAATATTTTAGAGGATAAAATTGAGGTTTAGAGAGAAGTAACCTGGCCACGGTTACACAGTTAGAAAGCAATGGAGTCGGTTCTCTAGTAGAAAAAGATGAGTATATCTGCCAGAGATATTATAAAAAATAGTTTTGTACTAAATAAGAAATAGAAATGGATGCTTCCTAAGTCCCAGACAGCTTGATGGCAGAATCCATTTTTTCTAAATGTTTGAATGAAGACAGGCAAGAGAAAACACTGCACATCGAGTTTTTTGGTCTCAATATTTTTTGTGTATCTCTTCCACAACATCTATAAGATACAGATATACCATGAATAGCAATTTTGTCAAACTGGTCTCTGGACAGTATGATAGGAATACTTGCAATTTAAAAATAAATATTTTTCAGAGATTTTTTTTCTTTAATAAAAGATTTCTCAATACCAACCTGTTGTGAGACAGATATTACTTGAAATTATAAACACGTTCATAATAAAGAAGTACACAACTGTTTGCTCTATCTTTCCCTGATATTTTTGCATGTCAGTTGCTTTCCTAAACTGGAAGCAAACAAATTTGCTTCTTTGGGTATGCTTATCGCCCTCAAAGCTGTAACCATTTCTTTGCAGTGATCATTTTGTTTAGGTGTTAAATCAAACAATGGAAACTTTGGGTTTAACCCAAGTGAGATTTTCACATTGGAATGAATCTCATGAGGAACTCTTTAAGGTCACTGCCAAATTACAAGATGTAATTTGAAAAGTAAGTGGAGCAAAATTATATTGTGCTGCTATCTTAATGCCTTTCCCTGTTTGCTCCCCCTCAACATCCCTCATTCTTCTGGTTTATTTTTTTTTTCCTCATAAGTATGCCCCATCTCTCTTTCTGACTTTTGAGTAAAACAAATGAGTAACCAAGTATAGCTCAAGAAAGAGATACCCCTTTGTTGCTTTACCCTTCCCCATTTTGCCCCTCCCCGTGTGCACTCTGCCCTGGCTTCCTGGTTTTAAGTTCTGGATGATACCTGGCAATAGCAGAGAGATCATTCATTGTAATTTCACCTTGAATTCCAGGTTTCTTTACATTCACAGTCTCAGAAGAAGAATCAGCTCTTTAGACATGTTTTTTTCATGTTGAACCATCCCATTTTGAAAGCTAGCATTTCTTATCATTATAAAGCAACTGTGTTTATAAGAATAAGACAAGGCTTCCTGCTGAGAAACATGCCCCTTTGATGGGAGTCAATGAAACTAAGACAGCATATTCTGAAACATTCATTCTTGAACTGGCTTTTCACTTCTGGAACTGTATTTTATTGATAAATAAGAGTAAATGTGTTTTCTAAAAGTAACTCTTTTGAGGTTGCTGGCAGCTCAGCTTTTCTTTTTTCTTATTCAAATATGTATACAAGAGTAAAAAAGAAATCGATTTGCATATTAACACTAGCTAGAATAATTTATGATAAAAATCAGTAGGATTCTAGTAGATGAATGCAAATTAGACCTTTTAAATCGAAACCTAAATTAATCATTGAATTATAATTGCAATGTAATATTATTCTACTTTAGGTAACATTGGACAGCATTGTTAGTTCAGTTATATGACAGAAAAGGGCTTTGACAGTCTGTGTGCTCCCCTTTCTACTGTTTAAAATACTAATAATCATGGGACTGGCCTCTCATCCAGTCAGTGAAAAGTCAGGCTATTGCTCTATGGCATGGGTAGCCCAGTGTTTTCATTTATTTGTTGTTCTATTCCTGTGTTCTTGTTTATCTTCATTTCATTTTTGTTTTCAGTTGACATGTGGTCAGTAGGGTGCATCATGGGAGAAATGATAAAAGGTGCAGTGCTGTTTCCTGGCACTGATCGTATCCTTCTTAGCAGCCAGTGGTACCTCTGGGTGTTACTCTCAATTAATTCCCTTTTGTCTCAGATGCAATACTGCTTATGGCATTTGTTCACTGTCCCTAGAAAGTTTCTGTGAGACTCAATGTCAAATATTTACAAGCTGGCATTATGGCAGAGTAACTTTGTCTCCTAGTAAGATCTTATGTGGATAATACAGTAACAAATATGAAACAGTCAAACTGATATCAAAAGGTCTGCCTGAATTCAGCTCTACCAAACTAATAACATGGTGTACTTTTCTTTCTTGTTTTTGTTGTTGTAGATGTTTCAAAATTAAGATGTATTCATAGCTAGATAATAAATTAAAAAGTCTTTCAGTTCTAAGACTGAAGAGTTATACTTTGATATAATGAGAAATATTCATTTGGCATAGGCATTTTTATCAGATTCATGTTCTTCCACAAATACTTATTGGTTTATTTTCACATATATTTAGAAAGCATGCATGTGAATTTCATTTTACAGCTGATCAACTTTTTTCTAAAATTATTTTTCTTATTCGCTCCATTTATGGGAATAATATCTCTAATTCCTTCTCTTATTTTCTGCATTTTATTAACAAGCACAATAATTAAAACCTCATTAATTGATAATGGCTATATATATCTGAAGAAATACATTGAAATCACTTGAATAATTACAAGTGATTCTGTCTTAAGCAACAAATAATTAAGAAGTAAAGATCAAGGCTGGATGTAGCAGCACATGCCTGTAATCCCAACACTTTGGGAGGCTGAAGTGGAAGGATTACTTGAGCCCAGGAGTTTGAGACCAGCCTGGGCAGCAGAGCAAGATCCCTGTCTCTACAAAAAATAAAAATAAAAAATTTAGCCAGGCATGGTGGGAGCACCTGTAGTCTCAGCAACAAAGAAACCCTCTGGGAGGACAGCTTGAGCCTCAAGGTCAAAGCTGCAGTGAGCAGCGATTGTGCCGCTGCACTGCAGCCTAGGCGACAGAGTGAGACCCTGTCTCTAAACAAACAAAGAAACAAACAAAAAGATTCCAGAGGTTCTGCAGTATTAAATAGATATGGATAGTGTGTGATTAGTGATTAGTATATGGATGTTCATGGGTCCTAGCATCAGGCTTAAAAATTAGTTACTCCCTTAGTTAGTTAAATATCCCTCTACACTTAGTCACTTATGAAAGTTTTATGTTTTCATCCTACTAAAGATAAAACCTCTGCTTCAATAACATACTTCAAAAATAAAATTGAGCCTATAATAATGGGGTTTTAATGTCTTATTAGACTAAATCTAATTACTAATATGGTGCATCCATGGATGTTATAAATAGCCATTTTCTTTAAGTTTCTAACACCTACATTACAATTTTTTAGTAAATGTTTATAATGTAATGTATAAACTTGAGAATTAATATTTATATCTGGTTTTATATATATACATATATAAATATATATATATAGTTTCATACATATATTCTCTCTATATATTAAAAGAAATAGTTCTGGAAATGATTGAATTAGGCACTCAATTTTTGTTGGAAGAAAGAACTTAAAATACTTTGGTTAAAAATAAAGTTACACTGTTTTTACTTCTGATTATTCTTACTAAAAAGTTTTTTTCTAATCTTGCATTTGACACAATTTTAAAAAAAATCTGCCTATATTGCTGTTTTGTTTTCTAAATATACATTTTATTAAATGACATATAATTTACCACATCAATGATAATGCTATTTGAAACTATGCTGGCTTTCTAAAAACTAAATTCCCTTGGATTTCTTAAAAATCTGGAGGATTAAAAAAAAAATATTTCTTTTATTCCCAATTAATTATAACCTTGTGTTTGGTCTTTGGGAATAAATATAAAATTGTCTTTAAGTTTTGGCTGATTTTAGATAATTTGATGAAAATCGACTCAATTTGTTAACTTCTGGAAAAACTTTGTTTTTCCAGAAGTTCATTGTGGTTGAATAATTGGTTACTGAAATGAATAATTGCCACCTGTAAATTAAAATTAGTGTTTTAAAATGACTTTTGTTATGTTTGAGAGAGGAGCATCAAACACTGGGGCAGTTGGTGGGGGTAGGGGAGAGACGGGGGGGGTGAGAAGGGAGGGGAGAGTGGGGAGGGATAACATGGGGAGAAATGCCAGATACAGCATGCACCTAAAGTAAAATAAATAAATTTAAAAAAAAATTAAAACATTTCTACAACTGGCTTATTAAATACAATTTGACATTTCTTAGAATAGTTTCTTGGGAAAAGTTGCTTGTGTATCATTTTATAATTTGGGTGTCAAAATTTCTCATAAATAATTGTTTAGGGTTCTGGTAATGTGGCAGTATCACATTCAATGCCTTTGATATTTGGATATTAAGTCCTTTATGGGGCTCTTGTATGGGGACATATTTGTAAATTCTTGGAGGACAAATAGGAATCATTTTCTCAAGTATGTCTTAACAATTGTGGGCTGTGGTCTCTTAATAATTTCAAATTTAGTTAAAGTTTTAAATCAGTCTTTTTAAAGCAAATTATGAACACTGAATATCAAATAATTAACCTCTGAACATGTAAGACATTACTGATTTTTAAAATTCTGTTATTAGAAATGAGTTATCTGAAAAGACAATAAAATTATACCTAAATCTATTAGTAAAATAGAGACATTAAAATGGAGCTGGAGATATGCATATGTATGATATGCACCTATTTAATATATTATAAGGAGTTATAGTTTTTTAATCAATATATCCTCATTATATAAAAGCATTCTCAAAACAATAATTTCTAAAAGCTCTTGGAATATGAGCCATGCATCTCTTTTTTTAATTTTTAATTTTTCTGGGTACATAATAGGTATATATATTTATGGGGAACATGAGATGTTTTGATACAGGCATGCAATGCATAATAATCACATCATGGAAGATGGAATATCCACCCCCTCAAATATTTATCCTTTATGTTACAAACAATTTAATTATACTCTTTTAGTTATTTTAAAATGTACAATTAAATTATTATTTACTGTAGTCACCTTGTTGTGCTGTCAAATACTAGATCTTATTAATTCTTTCTTTTTCTTTTATCCATTAACCATGCCCACCCACCACTTGGTCTGCTATCCTTTCCAGCCTCTGGTAACTATCCTTCTACTCTCTATCTCCCTGAGTTCAATTGTTCTGATTTTTAAAATTAATTTAACGGCTGACTCGGTGGCTCAAGCCTGTAATCCCAGCACTTTGGGAGACCAAGGTAGGCAAATCACCTAAAGTCAGAGGTTCAAGACCAGCCTGGCCAACATGGTGAAAACATGTCTCTACTAAAAATACAAAAATAAGCCGGACATGTAGTGGCGGGTGCCTGTAATCCTAGCTACTCAGGAGGCTGAGGCAGAAGAATCCCTTGAACCTGGGAGGCGGAGCTTGCAGTGAGCCAAGGTTGAGCCACTGCACTCCAGCCTGGGTGACAGAGTAAGACTAGGTCTCAAAACAAAAAAATTAATTTTAAGTTCCAGGGTACATGTGCAGCATGTGCAGGTTTGTTACATAGGTAAACATACCATGGTGGTTTGCTGCATCTGTCAACCCATCACAGGTATTAAGTGCAGCATCCATTAGCTGTTTTTCCTAATGCTCTCCCTCCTCCCACTCTGCCCCCCAACAGGGCCTAGTGTATATTATTCCCCTCCCTGTGTCCATGTGTTCTCATTGTTCAGCTCTCACTTATAAGTGAGAACATGCAATGTTTGTCTTTCTGTGCCTTATCATTTCACTTAACATTTTAAAATGTACCACATTTTCTTTATTCATTCATCTGTTGATGGATGCTTAGGTTGCTTCCAAATGTTGGCTATTGTGAACAGTGCTGCAACAAACATGGGAGTGCAGAAATCTCTTCAAAATAGGGATTTCGTTTCTTTTGGGTATATACCCAGCAGTGGGATTGCCAGATCATATCGTAGCTCTATATTTAGTTTTTTGAGGAACCACAAAACTGTTCTCCATAGTTATTATACTAACTTACAGTTCTGAGAGTGCACAAGCATTCCCTTTCCTCCACATCTTCCCCAGTGTTTATTGTTGCCTGTTTTTGGATATAAGCTATTTTAACTGGGATGAGATGATATCTCATTGTAGTTTTGATTTGCATTTCTCTGATTATCAGTGATGTTAGCACTTTTTCATATGCCTGTTTGTCATTTGAATATCTTCTTTTGACAAATGTCTATTTAAATCTTGCCCATTTTTATTCAGATTATTAGATTTTTTCTTATAGAGTTGTTTGAGCTTATACATTCTGGTTATTAATCACTTGTCATATGAGTAGCTTGCAAATACTTTCTCTCATTCTGTAGGTTGTCTCTTCACTTTGTTGATTGTTTTCGTGCTGTGCAGAAGCTTTTTAGCTTGACGTGATCCCATTTGTCCATTTTTGCTTTGCTTGCTTGTGTTTGGGAGGTATTATTCAAGAAATCTTTGCCCAGACCAATGTCCTAGAGAATTTCCCCAATGTTTTCTGATAGAAGATTGATAATTTATAGTCTTATATTTATGTCTTTAATCCATTTTGATTGAATTTTTGTATATGGTGAGAGATAGGGATCTAGTTTTATTCTCCTGCATACGGATATCCAGTTTTCCCACACAATTTATTGAGGGGACTATGTTTTCTCCAGTTTATGTTCTTGGCACCTTTGTTGAAAATGAGTTCACTGTAGGTGTGTGGATTTGTTTCTGGGTTCTATTTTCTGTTCTATTATTCTATGTGTCTGTTTTTATGCCAGTATCATGCTGTTTGGTTACTATAGTTCTGTAGTATAATTTGAAGTTGGGTAATGTGATTCATCTAGTTATGTTCTTTTTGCTTAGGATAGCTTTGGCTATTCTAGGTCTTTTGTGGTTCCATATAAACTTTAGGATTGTGTTTTCTATATGTGAAGAATGCCACTGGTATTTTGATAGGGACTACATTGAATCATAGATTGCTCTGGGT